CTGTAAGCTGGATTTGAGATAAAACAATAGATTTCAGTTTTTCAGTATTTTTGAACAGCTTGCACAAGCCATTTACACAAATGGCTAAAAGGAACGTTTCTGTGTTAAATATATTTTTATCAAGAGCTTTTTCTCTCATATGGGTGGCTTTTGTCGTGCCACTCAATGATAAGAAGTCATGATAAGATGTTCCACTAATGCACCCTTATTGGGTCCTAATGCCATCGAGAACCACTTCCTTAACCTACAAAAACACTTTTATGTGTACAGTAAACAATATGTACTTATTCCAACACATTTTGAAGAAAAAAAAGAAGTGCTTTTAGCATCTCTTCCGTGGTTGGCAGCCATGCGTTAGGTTCTGTATTGCTATATAACACTACCTGAAAGACTCCAAAACCCATTTATCACTGACAGGCTGCAGTCAGGATGGCACATTACTGAGGCCAAGGCTTTACTGAAAAGGTGAGCTTCTGCCTTGTCAAATCAGACTGTAGCTGCAGAGGGCTTGAACGTGAAGGGAGGAGTGCTGTTTGTCAGCTGATGGGTACTTCACGGTACCCACTACAGCAAGGGTGGCATGCCCTCCGTTTCCTCTAGTTTATTAATTAACTGATAGCCCAGAGTACAAAATTAAAGTAATTAATCACAGCGTTTTTTTGTCCCATGCTTACAATAGAATCTCACCCAGATGCAGTTCTCCAAATTGTATAATTTACCCCAGTAGATACCAAATGACCCTACAGCAAAGTCATAGTGCGTGTTTTCTTAATTAGACCACATCTTTATTCAGGTCATCGTGCTAAAGACACAAACCCCTTCCCCACTTTCCTTAAAAGTGAATCTCCATGTGTTCTGCGGCACAGATAACCCTAACCTTTGCAACATGCAAATGAGAGAGAGAATGCTGTCAGATTGAATTTTTTAACACACACCTTTTCTTTTTACAATTCAGTTATGAATAAATACTGGCAAACACTGATTTGCCACAACAGTGTCTTATTCATGCAATCTGACAGGGATATAATCGCATTACTGTACTGCCCAGGATAGTCCTCGAGACCTGGAATGATATTGTTTTTCACAGGAATTAATTTGAAACAGAATACAGCAGGTGTCCTCGTGTGTCCCTTACTAATACTCTAACAACCTGAAAACTGGACACCGTGCACTTTATACCAACCACAAATACTTGCTGGACTTTCAAATAACACTCACTGTTTTGCTGCGATGCTGTTTTCTTGCCTGATTCAGTGCACAGAACTTATCCATAATTATACCTTTTTGAACGGAACGCTATTAGAACGTTGGTGGCAGTGTTCTTGCTCTGGATTCTATATGATTTCTAATAAGCAATAACAGGGGAGTCATTTTCTAATGCCAATCATGCATGTTAACCAACGAGCTCATTGGCGCCAACCATGCCCACACACTATCTCAATGCACTGTATTTTTTTTTGCCAGTACATCCAGGTCTATGCTGTGTTTGCCCTGGAGGTGACAAACTGTGAATAACAGCAATATGAAAGGGTTGTGCACAAGTAGTGAGGAGCTGCAGTCCAATTCAATCGCACCTTGCATGCTGGGGAGGTCTGGGGATGATCAATTGGCTCAGCGGGTCTGCTCTTGGTTCTGCAGAGTATGGTGGTGAAGTACTGAGCCTCCCCACCTGCCCCTGGAAATCTCCCTCTTCACTGACCAACACAGAGGATGACAGGACAGAAGAAGTGCACCAAACACTGAAGGGCAGCTCTAAGAAGTGTTCACTGGATATCTATGCATATACTGTATCTCTTAAAATGCCAACTGCCAAGGTTTTATACCCTAAATAAAAAAGCTCTGGGTTTTAAAGTCACATTTTGTTCTGAGAACAAAATAAAACCCACCTTGTTACTGCCACATTTCACGAGCCTTGGATATCAATTTACATGATTGTGAAACCCATGGATACCAAACAGAAAATAATATGTTCTGTTAAAAATAAATTTCAATACCAGCATAAGACACATTGCTGTAGGTGGAGGAAAACATTCATCATTGTAAACTCAACCAAAGTTTTCAGCGCCAGAAATCACTTTTGCATTGACCTGTTGAAACAGACATAGAAACAAGATACTGCAGTACTCAAACATATGGAGTTCGATTGCCACTAAGTTCAATGGTCAGTAATTCATTCTGTGGATCCTGTTTCTTTTCATACTGAAGCTGCTTATTGCATTATAATAACCGTTTTTTCCCTGTGAAAGGTTTAGAGGATTGGTGCCTTTGTGTATTGAGTGGGGATACTACTGTACTTACATCTAAATATACTATAGCTGAAAAATGACAAGGAGTTTGATAACTTCATCTGTTGTGTGATTTCGTATAAAATGCCCCGATAATTACAATATATTAAATGTCCCAATGCAACAAAGCCAACATCTCTGTGGTTTAAATCAACACCAACAGATCTTACTGTGTCACAAGACAGATTCAGGAGGAGAAAATGCTCTAAAACCCACGCTGGAAGAGCACCTCTAAGTAAAATCAGTGTGACTGCACGGCGTGCTTCACTTGGCTCACGCACAAGATCTGGAGGAACATCGGCTGGAGAGTTTCCCTCAGAGGAGACTGTCCCCGCAGTGAACCTTGGGGGATCTGGAAGACACCCAGTCATGCCCCTTGTCCTAACCATTGCTCTCCATCGAGAGTTCAGGCTGTGAGAGGACCTCTGCAATAAGAGGTCACTGATATGCTGCTTTACACCAGGGGTGTCTGATCCTGGTCCTGGAGGACCAGTGGGTCTATGGGTTTCTTTCTTAGTCGGCTCTACATGAGCTAAACTAGCTGCTTTCTGGATTAACTGGACCAGATTCATAGCTTCTGCCGGCCTTTTCAGGTGCTGCTGCTTTACAGAGACCTTGAAAATTCTCAGACACACCAACCCTCCGGGACCAGGACTGAACGCCTCTGGTTTACAATATGCTGCCATTGAAAGTGAAGCTGGACACGTACACATAGATAGTAGCTGCACACTTTTATCCAGGCTTCCTGCTATTACGCGACACTATGAAAATACCATGGATAGCTATTTAGAAGGGTAGAATGTTGCTGTAAACATCTGGGAAATAAAGCAGACTATTGTACAGTATATGGTCCACCTTACTACCTTATTAGGATGCTACCAAGCTATTTCTTTAAGGATCTCACTTGATCAATGCCAGGAACATGCCTTTGGAGGCTGCTCCAGACCCTATAAACTCTCTTCTCTGCATTATGAAATATCCCCTGTTTCTTTTCCTAATGTATATGTTTCTGAACCTAATTTCCACTTGTCCCTGGGTCTCTGTCGTTGCTGATTTTAAAGATGTAAGATGGGCTGATTTTGTCAAACCCTGTTTGGGATTTTAAATACCTGATTCAAGTTCTCAGTTACTATGCCAGAATGCAGTGTCAAGGTCTGGTGTAGTAAAGCACATTGTTGAAAGCACAGTAAATATGCAGGAGAGCACAGTGAAAGCAAAGTAAACGAGCGTAAGATTTAAAGTCAAACCATGATGGAAGTGCAAAGGTAATTTACCAAGGTAAATTTTCAATTTCTTTGTCTACAGCCTTGACTTGTCCATACAAAAATGGGCAAGCTGATATCTCTCCACAAGCTCTAAGACATGCTACATTTATTTGGAAGACACTGTGAATTTGTAAGGAAACTGTTTCTAAAAACAAGCCTTCAGCTTTATTTTCTTTTCTTTTTCCATATCATATCCTAAAGTCTATAATCCCTAGTTCAGTAACTGCCTACATGGCCTCAAGCCATGTTGGTTGGAGAAGTGCCAGACTCTGTCATCCAGAGGAAATACATGTATTTTTTGGTTTATAAGCCAGAGACAATCGCATGTGGTTGACTAGGTCTTTTAAAAGCAACATTTCTACTGCCCTTGTTCCAGAGATAGTGTCACATGCAGGTTTTAGAGCATCCTTCCCAGCAAGATATTCTGCCGTCTCCCCATGCTTACAGTCGTATCTGGCCTCTGTTGCTGTTTTTGGCATTTTTGGAGTTAAAAAATCATGGCCCTCCTCTAAACAGATTCTTTCACACCCTCCCATCAACGGTCACAGGACAGAAACACTGCTGAGCTCGATTTCCAGAAGACAGAGAGTGTCAAAAAACAAAACAAAAACAATTGAAGCAAAACTAGAGCTCTAAGTCACCCGGTCATACTGTAAAATCACAGTTATACTGGAGAATTAAAATAAATAAATAAAACACAGTGAAGCCTAGAGGAAACAATGTCACATAGGAAGATCAGTGTGCAGTCCAAAGGATGCAGGAGGGTGTGATTAAACCTCACAAATTAGACGGTAATTTGGGCCGGACGGGTTCGAGTTCAGAAGCATACGAGCTGGAGCCCTTCCTAGGAGGGAGGGTGGGGGAGGTCCCTGGGGTTTGAGGTATGGACCCTGAGGACATCTGCCTGGGGAGAGTCATGCGGCCAGGGATGGAGCTACAGGGTTTTCCCAGGAGAGTGGGAGAGGCGAAGGGGGAGAAGCAAGTGACAGACTCCCTGGAGGAGTGTGGAGATGCTCGGCTCATAGCCTGAGCTACCTCTTGGGGCAAGGAGGGGTGTGAGGCCGATATCAGTTTGATTTCCTGGGAGAAGCGGCCCACCGGCAATGCTGTGCCTGCTTTGGACTGGCTCTGGCTAAGGGGCTGGGCTGGGCAAGTAGTCTGTGGAGTGAGGAGGGAGCTGTGGGAACCAGTCACACTCGAGGGGTCACTGTACTGGAAAGTTCTCCCCACCACGGGGCTCTGGACAGTGGGACTTGGTGCCACGGGGGTATAGGAAGGAGAGGCAGTTCCGGAGCTGTGCTGGACCAGAGCTGAAATGGCTGAGCGCTCCTGATGGAGCTGGGCTATGAAGCCGGACTGTAAGCCAGCCAGGCTGTGTTGTGCTAAAGATGACGGGGAGCCCAAGGCTGGCTGGGCAAGCTGGCTCAAGCTGGATGATGGCGAGCTGGATGGAGGGGTGTGGAAGAGGTTTAATCCACTGGAAGTCCTGCCCCCCCCCGCGAACTGCTGTAAGGACCCCACCTGAGGAGCTCTGGGGGGAGGAGGCTGCAGCTGGCCGAGAAGAAGATTCGGGGAGCCTGTAGCTGACGGGCCAAAATTACTGGCAGCGGCACCACCTGCTGCCCCCTGCTGGAAGAGGCCTGATGGAGGTGTGCTGCAGGGGAAGAGCTGCTGCTGCTGCTGCGGGGGCTGATGGAGCTGAGCAGTGCTGGAGGAAGGCGACCCAGACGTCGGGAACTGACTGAAGGGAAACGTGGAAGAACTGCTGGGTCCCGGCGGCGCACTGCTGCTGGCGGACGGGGGCTGGCTGGAGCTGGCCGAGGCCGGCGGCTGGGCCTGGGCCTGGAAGGAGGCCAGCGAGGGCGTGTCGGCTCCTGACAGGCGGAGCTGGGAGGGCGTGCTGGAGGGAGAGTCGCCGGCCGAGGCAGCAGTGGTGGGCACCAGGGGGTTGAACCTCTTCAGCTGGCTGGACGGCTCCCTCAGGGACCCCAGCACCGAGACTGGGGGTCGGAAGAGTGTGGCGGGGAGCCGGGGGTGATGGGTCAGGGCGATCGCCACAGACGTGGTGGCAGCAGCCGCCTGCAGGGGGGCCTGGATGAGCGGTGTCCAGATGACCGGTGTGGGCGTGGACACGGGGGGCGGGGCGTTCTGGAGGAGGTGCGCGCAATGAGCCATCTCCCTGTCGTGCTGCACAATCTGCTGGATGATCTCGTTCTCCTGGTAGTTGAAGACACCCGAGTTGAGGTCGTGTTGGACCTTGTGCAACAAGATGGAATTCTTCTTCCCTAGGAGAGAAAACAGGGATATTCAGGTTACAGCAATATCAGTGATTACAGGTTTGCACACAGCTCAGCAAGTGCAACGACATTCATTTCAAAATGTTTTGTGAATACTTTTGTTCATAAAGACCTCCCATACCCTGGTTGAGGACAATATACATTTTTAAATGTTCCTGTATTAAATAATGGCTGTGCCGAAGAAATGCATGTTAAAAAGAAAATAATCCAAATACATGCAATGCAACCCAGAATTGGATGAAGCAATTAAAAAATGGATGGATATATAATGCATCAAACATGCATTCATCATAAAATCAATGTTGATTTTATTTATAATGTATTTTACCTGTCATATAATTACATTGGAAATACAGACACATTATGTTGCTATAAAAATTAAACTGGATTTTTTTTGTGAGTTTATTTATACAACCACAGCTTACTGACAAAAATATAATCCACTGTGTAACTTCAGAAAGACAAATAACACAACTGAAAAACTATGCTTGCTGGACAGGCTCCGGGTTGCTGAGACCCTGTTATACAGGAGGAATAAGCAGCTTTCTGATAATGGAAAGATGAACAAAGAGTTTGATAATCATCTGATAATAAAACCATTAAGAGGTGCAATATTTTTGCATGTAGAGTGTGCATCTAACTTTTCCCACGTTTGTTCCACCACTACACAACCCTGGAGGATTATGTCAAAACAGGTTTTGACTTGTCAATGGGAAACCTATCAGGAGGTTCAGTGCTTACCCTCAGTATATTTTGACAGTCCTGCTTCACAGCGGTCCAGTTGGCTTTAAAGTAATGTAATCTCCTGCACAGTCTCTCCAAAGCCTGCCAGTCACTGCTTTCACTTTCAAGGAACCACCTGCTGAACTGGAACTGCACTGGAACTACTGGGGAAGGAGTGGTCAAGGACAGGCCACCCTCTGTGTCCCCCAGGTAATGATCCTCATCCCAGCCTATCATGCAAAACTAAACACTGCATCTTGTCTTCCTTTCTTGTGACAACGAGAGCCAGTGACAAATCAAAGACCTCCATATGACTGTTTCAGCTTACATGCAAAGGGCTTAGTTAGAAAGAGCAGATTTCAGAGAATCAGTTTTCACAGTGAACCCTTAATATAATCGCTTAGCTTCATGAAATATTGAAATCCCAGCTCGCCTCTGGTCTGTGGTTGGCTGTCTGTACTAAAACACATTCTTTTAGCCTCCAGATTGTGCTTTGAATATTAAAAGCACAAACCATAGTATTTTAAATCAGGGTGCGGCCGATCTCCAGTCATTTCTTTGATTTCCACTTTACAAACCTAAACAACAAAGGCCTTTCGGCCAAATCAGCTACAGTCTCCTTGAAAATAAAATGGTATTTCTCAAGTGGGTGACAACTCAAGTGCATGTAACCTATTCATTGAATATCTTGGCATAAATCTGAATTTGAAAGAAGGTGGTTTAGTGCTATACTACATAGAATAAAACAATTCGACATAGAATAGTACAATAGCCTGTACAATAATTTTGTCATATAAACAATATTCTGAAAAAGCAGTGCACTACTGTAGTATATAGACCAACTTTGCAATATACATGATTCATTTTTTACTTTTTGTTGGTGTGAAGGTGAGTCTTTCTCAAGTTTTTCAAAATATAATTGCAACAGCATTTAAAGTTCTCCATAGTTAAATACTTCAAACTGCCTGAAAACAGTTTTAATTCTAGAACAAAATGAGACACCATGAGGAATGATGCACATAATTTCATATGGATTTCATATGATATGAACTGTGGGGAAAACAATCTTTCATGAGCTGTGCAGTCTGACTTCCTCCCTGTTTTTGTGACCAGAAGCGTCTGATTCACAGCCTGTCAGGATCCGTTACTGTAGGCTTACGTGGAAGAGGGCAGTTGTCACTAGAGGGTTAATCTGCATGGTTGTTCGGGAGGGAGCAGTGAAGCATTTTATCCATTCTGCTCTTTGAATGTCTCCGACAAGAAGCTCTGGTACAGTCCCAGTCCCAGTGAACAGACTACTTTACTGCCAATTATACCAGTGGGGAAAAACAGACCTCAGCTGTAGGAGGAGAGCATGTCTGTGGACTCCAAAAAATAAACAACCCATCACTGAAGATACATCTTTGTCCTCTTTGATAATACAGTGGACTGCTCTTAAGCTGAAGTGAACTCAGGATGCCCCAGGTCATCTTTGTGTAACCTGTGTCAGCCAGGGTATAGAGAGCAGTGGACTAACCAGTAGCAGTTTCATAACAATAATATCATCCAGCAGAATATTATTTGATTTTTTTGTAATTTCCAGTAACACACTTTTGCCAGGGAGTTCTAAATAAACAAAAACTCTTAATGATAGGCATCTGCTTGAAGTGCAGGACGCAGCCTACAGATCTGGTGTTGTTAAATTGGCATCGGGGATACGTCGTCATCTCCACACGGAGACGCAGTGCAGAGCTGAGAAAGGGCAGCTGGAGCCGTGAATTTGTCAAGTGTCCTAGCTGACTTCCAGAGGTGCCTGGTCTGTTAACAGTATACAGACAGAAAGTGATAGTTCTGCGGACACTTTGTTAGAAATGAACTAAATAGATTGAATTATGAAATACTGGGGAGAGGGAGGTGTAAAATCCCTACATAAAGTAACAAAAAAAACTCTGATGGCTTATATTTTGCAATGTACAGAAAATAATCTAAACGTTTATCTTGTATATATGAGAATGGTGGTATTTTTTAGAATACATCTGTGTTAAAAATAACATTAATATATATTTTTTTACCTGGCATCGATCCCCTGTTTCCATACCGTGGTGCATAAAAACGCACCCAGGAACTTTCATATTTTAAAGTATTTCCATTTTTTTTCAGTAGTAGCATTTTACTAATGCTCTTTCTATAAAGCACAATTTTAAAATGTAAAACAAAGTCAGCTTTTCGACTATAAATGGTTTGGATTTACAGCATGAGTACTTCATACCTTCTAAAAAATAAACGTAACAGTTTATCATTGGGCGCTGGAAACACGTTATACTGACCATCCCACCCAGAAAAGCTCTGTGCCTGACAGGTTTAACACAGAGATAAATATTTCTGTGTAACACGACACATCACAAATGAAATGCACCGTGGCAAAAAAAAAATATCACAATGAGGAAAAACAGCTTTTAGAATATCAACACTTCCGATTGAGAATACAATTACTAGTTTATCAGGTGAGGTGCAGCAGTCCCCAGTTAATTCAAATCAGATTGCGCTGGGTCCATTAAGGCAGTAATTAATTAGCAGAGCAGCGCTATTTGAATGAATTCATTATGCAAGAGGGCTTGAAAAGGTGAAGCCAATGTAGAGGAGAGGAGCTCATGCTTTGCTGAGCACAGGAGGGCTTGTGGCAAAGACACAATGAAGGCAGGAGCTCGGGTGACAGCAGGGGCTTCCCGGCAGTGCCAGCGTCATTTTCGCTTGATGCGGAAGAGCTCACTTTCCCAGGGCTTCCTGTAATCCCTGATGACACAAGCTCTCACAGGAGAAGGTCTGTCTCTAGAAGAACGTGAGGCAGACCGTCTCGCCAAAAGCAGATTCAGCACAGAAGTGAACAGACATCTTCCTTTCTCCAGCAAAATAACAGCAGTTCAGAGCTGCACTTGCAGACCATACGCTCTGTCAAGCAATTAGGCTGGATCTCATTTATTGTGTTAGTTTTCATTTTGTGCAAATGCACAAAAAATTGTAACCCATTATACTTGTTAGAGTTCTGTTTCAAATTGACTTATTTTTTTTTATTTTAACCCTTGAAAAACATCTTGGAATAAGGAGTACATCCAATAAAACAATAATCATCAAATAAATAAATTAGATGATTGTTATTTTTGACATTGAGCTTCACAAAAAAATCAAATTATTTGCTATTACTCAGTGACCTTCTTCCTACAGAAACAAATTAAGTTGTGACCTTCTACTGAAAGTTTAGTCGTTGTGTTTTAAAAGAGCAGTTAATCCAAATTTGTATTTTGTTGTATAAAAAAGTAGCCATTAAGTTTTCTAGATGTGTTGAGAGAAATGATGACAAAAATATCGACAATGAGTCTATTAGATTGGTAGGTAAATGTGATGACCAATTACTGCAACAATTGATATTTGCTGCTCGTGTACAGTATATTGTCAGTCACCATGATTGTGATCAATGTGAATCAGAGATTGCCTGGCTTCGTCTCGTCCAAACTACTCACTTTTCATAACAGTCAGGCGGGTGTCAAAGAGAAAGCACTCCGGGAGGAGTGAGCTGTTAATGCTCACAAGATACTGTGTGTATATAGTGAAAAAGAATTTTGTGCTGTGAGAAAAGAACAACAGGCCTTGTTCTCATAATTATCATTAGCCTTGGTAAGTAGCTGGCTGATAGCTGCAATGGCTCATGACTCTCTTTTAGCAGGTAGCAGACATTCCATTTTGAAACTAATGCAAACAATTGCAACCACCTAAGAAAACATTTTGTAGATGTTTTTCTGCTGGAATATCTGCTATTGTTTTGGCTTTCTCTTATATGACTAAATTGCTGTGGCTCTCACTGTATAATAAGGGAAACAATGCTGTATTAAATTTGAGCTACCCCTGTACATTCAGAACTGTATTCTGTCCTGTGCTCCTGTATGCATACAATAAAGATCTGCTTTCCTGCTCACCTGAAGAACCTAATCATCGAGTGATTTCTACAATAGTAACTCGTGACAGTGTCTACACGTCTAGACTTTGGCACAAAACAAAGCAGCAGAGTAATGTTCCTTCCTGGCTCTTGAGAGTGATTCCAAACGATATTTAAATGTATAAAAGTTGACTTTACATATAGCAGGTCATGATGTGAAGCAGTGTAGATGTTAAACTAACCTCTGTCAAATTTATGACTAATGCTTGCTTATCACTGTCCTGCACACTGATTGATCAGAGTGTCAAGCCTATATCTGTGAGATATCTGCATTTTCACCTTCACAAAATGTGCTGGGGAACACTACATGTTCATGTTTTCTGTGTCAAAAAGTTCTAGTGTCTTTTGAATTTGTTTCCACCTATAATCTCATATTCTGTTCATTGCACTTAATTTAAAGTGGAATTTACTAGAGACCTTTTAAACACTGTATCACTGCACACAGACAGCAACTTGGCTATCAGTTTGTGGTCAAGATTTTAAAGAGACATTATTCCATTAAGGAAGAGCCCTGATCATTTTTTTAAAGAAAACAGTCGGCCTATTTAAGTCACTCCGAGCTCATCTGAAACAGACCTCAGAAGATTCTGTGAAGATACTGTGGGCCAGGGCTTCAGAGGCTTGTGGTACAGAGCAGAGGGGAGTGTAGCTGCATTTAAACAGCAAAAAGCTGTGGGTTCCTAAGACATTGCAGTGCTTAGCTCAAAAGTCTTGTCATTGGACATTGGAAATACATTTGGGGATAAATATTTTGGCAGCGCTTTCTTCAGTACAAACCATAGATTTCAAGGGTGTTCTACAGCCTTGGATCTACAGTTTAGATACAGTCTCTCTTTGGCTGAGGTTAGGCTGCAGAAATGGACACAAACCGTGGTGGAGCTCTGATTTGCCAAATATCTCTGCCCTGCCTTGCATGGTTCAGTTGTATCCTAAAGGAACATTAACCTGGAAATCCTCCATATAAATTTACATTTCTCCCATGGCTATTTTCTACATTTTGAACTCATTTAATTTGTTCTCAATAACTCCCCTATGGTTTTAAAAGAAACCATAAGATAGCTTAGTGCTAACGGGATAAATGAGTGAAAAGTACAGGATGATTTACCATGCTTTAGATGTTCTGAAGGCATCAGAGGGAGCTGTTTCTGTCAAATTCACTACGCTTTGCTGAATTTGCTTTTTTAATCACCATATTGGGAGAAACCAACAGCCTAACAAAATGTGTCTCAGTGGACGTCTGTGACTGTTCTGTTAGATCAATGGAGTGTGTAGTATAAACTCCAGTATAAACTATAAAGTTCTGTTAAATACAAATTCCAGTTTGTGTTAAGTGCTGAAGCAAATTGTGCGGCACTGAAGTTCAGGGACTACAAATTATACTTTATTAATGTAGATAATGTAGATATTAACCAATCTTTTGCAAGAATTCAAAACACTTCAAAAGCGAGTTTGCTTTCCTGTGTCCCTAGGTCCTTACATCAATTGTTGATCTTGAAGTCCTCTGGAATAGTGAGATCAATGCCATTCAGAACTTCAAAAATGCGAATAAAGACTCAGTTTCAGTTTCCTTGATCTGTCTTAATGTGGCATTTCCTTCAGGTCAGCAATTAGTCTGGTCCCTTTTATTTGTACTGCCTCTAGAGCAGCTATTTCTGTCTTAGAGCATGGGGACCTGAGATGGACCCAGTTTTACAAAAGAATAACTAGAATGTACAATAGTTGACTATTGATCCAGTGATTTAAATTACCCCCATTCAATTATCCATTCACACCCTGAACTATTTATCCCTTCACCACACTGACTGGATGAAGAAAGTTAAAGTTAAATCTCAAGGCAACATAAACTAATAAGCCTTTCTATTGCAGAAGGCTGGAAAAGAACCTTTTTGGTCTTGAACAAAGCGTCTATGAGGGAACCTGATACTTTCATTCAAAATTCTTGTAGTCATAGAAAAAATCGAAAAAATCAACTCAGCAGATGTCCTCTGCGTTTAAAACTGAGCACAGAAGGCATTTCTGTACACAAAAGATTGTGGGATACCCCCAAGGATATTGTTGAAGTCAATACCCTGGTTTCTTTTAGGAAAAGGTAGGATAAGATTCTTTAAATTATTCACTACTACTAAATAGGTTACAGTGGCCGTTTGGCCTCTCATTTGTAACAATTCTTATGTTGTAACCTTGCCTTTTCTATCTCAGTATCAGAATGATAAACATACTGTATTAGCATGTTAGAAGGGCAGTCTCATCACCTCACTGGTTTCTGTGGTGCTGTTTTTGGTCAAGAAATAAGAAAGCATCAGCAATACTCGAACTAGTCAGATAAATAAAAGGGTATGAATTAAAGTTTGATTTGTTCATTGACTATGCATCTTAAACTATTGTATTTTATCCTAATGTCACACAAAAATCTATTTACCTGAGATGCTAAGTGGCCAGATATATTATGAAAATCTTGCCTCTCTCCTATTTTTGGAGATGGATTCTGAATGACATTTGAAGTGTTTAGTCACATTCTGCACAAGGGGACCGCAGAACAAGCAAGCCATTTTTTGTAGATATGCCCCTCCAGCACAATTTGAATCTAACTCTGAATGAATTTATCCCCGGACCATGTAGGGTTTTCAAACAGCGAGCCATGAAACTAATATGCTTCAAAACAGATGGAAAATGCTGCCCAGGAGGCTACATTCAGTGGAAGTCTTTGACATTTTCTATCCACAAAAGAATAACTTGCTCTCACTTGTGAAAGCAGTGTGACTGGCAGGATCAGGAAAAAAATCCATTTATAGCACTTTTACAAGCTGTGGGCTCTTTAGTAAGAAAGACATTGAATCCTGGATATTTCAAGCTTTTTGTCTTATTTTGAGCGCTGTAAATTTAAACAAAAAAGTGAACTAAACTCTTTGGGATGGCTCTTACATCATGTCAAACTAGACTTAAATAAAAGATCCTTTAGATATACAGTATATACAATACAGTATGATGGAAATGAAGCCCTCTGCAGTAACAGGTGTATCCGCTGCACTGCATTTAACTTCATCTTGTACTGTACAGACTGTCATTCAAACTTCCCGGTAGAAACCCGTACAGCACGCAACTACCCACAAGCCACCGCGGCGTACCGCAGTACGTGATTGGCTGGCAAAAATGACCGACAGGGGCACTCATGGTGCATTGGTCGGTAGTGAAAAGATTTAATCATTTAATCTCTTTACTGTGCAGATTTTAATCCACTTAGTATTGAGTATTTATATGGAATTTTACAACTAAAGGGAAATCTTAGCAGCTGAGCATAAAAAGAAGAGGAGCATAACGTATCTGAAGGTCATAAACGATATTAAATAAGGAACATAAACGTATTATGTGAATAATTTTTGTGAATTGGACGAACCTCGGGGGATAAATACTTATCCTTTAAGAGAAGCATCTGGAGAAATCCGTGGCCGTCTGACATCAGTAAGTGATCCTTTAAAAGAACTAATAGTTTGAAAAGCGAGCAACAGCGGTGTCCTCTTCAATAAGTCAGGGACTTATAATGGGTCTGGGACCCGGCGAGTCTGGGACTCGTGAAACGAACATACAGTATAAGTGGACTAGAGCAGTGACCACTGCTCGCATTGCAGCGTGCACATCTAAAGACCTGAACACCTGGTGTTCAATCAGGCACTGCTACTACAGTCACACGCAGGAGGGCCCATCAGCCCACCAGTCCTTACCAATGCGGTCAAGTCTGTCCAGGGCCACAGTCTCGAAGGCTCTCCTCATCATGGGGTACTCCTCCAGGACCTCGTTGAAGTTATCCACGGACAGCGAGTAGAGCCGGCAGTAGGTGTCCGCTCGGACGCTGGCTGTCCTTCTGCCTCGGGTCAGCAAGCAGATTTCTGCACAGAGCAACAAAGATTTCACCTGGGGCCTCTCTCCAAACACTCAGCTGTCTGCGCTGTAAACCAGATTCTTTTTAATATTCATTTCCAAAACCAAACAGAGAAATCAATGATTTTGTCACACAAATTATAACTGCCTCACTGGTTACTGAATATTAATATTCAATAGCACAACATGCCAAGAAATCACAGATCTCTCAACTCCCAGCATGGGGCAGTGATTTGGAGACTGATATTACACAGTCAGCAAGTCAAGATCTTGCAGCACCTGGTAGCTGGCAGACTCATTTACATGCAAAGATAACATCTTAAAGTTGCATCTTTCTGCCACTGGAGACTCTGCGACTAGACTTTGGTAACCGTAGTATCACTCACAGCAAGATCACCTAAAGGCAGTTTTGATTAAGCCCTGTGTCTAACGGTGTAAGCAAAATGAAGGCAATTTGTGACATAAACAGTAAAGGATATCACTCATATAAGACTAATGTCTAGTAAGAGTTGCTCATAGGCAGCCAGACCACATGTGCAAAGCCAGATCAGAGCTATAACGCTTCATTAAACAAGCAGCAGAGCGGCACACTGGCACAGGAACAGCTACTGTGCTCCACTTCAGTAATGGGTACAACACACTGTGGAAATTGCTGTTTTGGCTGAGGTACTGCTGTGCACCTCACATGTGGAGAATACAAAGAGAAACGGACAGCTAAGGTTTTTGAGCAGCTGGGGTCTTCAACTTCCACATTTTTTAAATTATCGGTGACTACAGTGTTTGCTTTTTATGAAAACACCAAGTGTTAATCCGCTGTCCTGATTGCTAAGTGTAAAACAGCGCAAACATCTTTTCAAACATGAGTGGCGCCATGATGCCTACTGCATGACAAAGCCTCTAATACAGACAGCAGTCACTGGTCTGCAGGAGTCAACCTCTCAACCCCACCAGTGCCACTCAGCAAACCAAACCTGCACTGCTGTACTTGTCGAGACTAGTTTTCCAAACCTTATGGATACCACCTCAATCCATGAAATTTGTATTGAATATAATCTGGATGCACAGTTTTTTTAAGATTTGTGAACAGTACAGCAATGTGTATAGCTGTCATTTTTGTCATGCCAGGTGTAAGAGGATATCAACAATGTCTGACCAATCAAAGCCCTTGTTGGGCCAATAGAACAATCACTGACTACAGATGGCTAATTATCGTACTCATCGAACTCAGCTGGCCAATCATTGCACACTCTGAGTTTAGCTGGCCACTCAGAACACATGAGTGGGTACTTGCCCATGGACCCCATCCATTGTTAACTCGACCAAATGTCTTCAGTCATTAAATATGTTTGGCTTTTGAAATTCTACCATGATGTCAATAAACATACCATACAGATGTGATTATTTTATCTCTGTATTGCGGTACATAATTCTGGTTATGCCATGGGATGCCATGTTTAGTTTTTGTTTTAGTTGAGCTTGAGAAAAAATACCGCAGACAAAAAACTGGATCCTCTGTGAAGCAAGCACTGTCTCCGCATGTGATATTTCCTTGGATGTTTCCATGTTTTCAACAGAGCTCTGAGCGTCAGTCATATAATTCTTGTTAGGAAGAGTGCACACTCTTTGCACTAGATCACAATCACATCAGATACACTGAAAAAATGTATGAGCTGCCAAAGTCAGTTTTGTGAGTCATACCAAGATGACTCACAACATAATATATGAATATATGACATCAGAAATAAGCTTATTATATAACAATATAGATGATATATAAGCTGTGCCAGCTTTATCTACTTTGTACAAAATTACACAGCCTTTTGCAGCTGGATAAAGCATTTTTGCAGAATGGAACAGGAGTGTTCAAAAGTGAAATTTGAGATCTAAAGAAGAGTTTTTTTTTTCACAACGAATGGGTCATACTAATTTGCTCCCGTGAATCGTTTCACCAGAACAGACAAACTAGCAAAGAATTTCTGAAAAGCATCGCAGAACAACAATGCTTTTATTGATATCTTGTCAGTACAGCTGCTGTAACTTTAAAACCATAAATGCGTATTTGCATTATATATAATATACATGAATGACCCAAGTTTATGATACATAAAAATGTATAAAACACATCAAATATACAGTATACATAATAAGCATTATATTTCTTAATATAAGCCTATCTATAATAATATGATATGATAGCAATATAAAAGAAGTCACATCATACTGTTTCTTTCAAGTCCAAAACAGAGTGACAACACCGGGACGTGTGTGATTTGTGGTGTGGGTGTCCTCTGGCTCAGAGCAGAACAATGAGCTGCCTGTCCAGGGCTGATTAACACCCTGACATCCTCAGTCTTGTCACTTCACATCGCCGTCCCCGGGGGCAGCCAGCAGCGTTAATGTGAACCAGGCCTCACCTTTTCATGTCAGTGCTGGAGAACTCCTTTTTCAAAGCCGCTGCACGAGCAGATTGTAAGAATACAAACTGTTTGTGCTCTCCTTTGGCCAGACCCTGCATCAGTTCCACGGCTGGAGTGGCGTGTGAGGCCGACTTGTGACAGTTCAAAAAAGCACCATGTGGTCATTTTTAATATGACTAATTATGCAGCGTTAACCAATTAAACTGCTTGAGAGTGATGTTATCTAAGGCTTCTGTGGGCACGCAGGTTTACGGGGTTTGATCACACTACAAAGGTGCTGTGGCTCAGTGAAGAACAGTGAAAGACAGGAAATAAGCTACAGTATGAAGATGCTGCCGGTATCAATGTTCCAATACGAAGACCCTAGAGAGCATTCAAAGATCATTCCTCCACTGTCCATAAACTCCAGCAGCGCCGGCTGACCCAGTCACTTTCTAGGAGGAAAACAAGCTGGAAAGGCTGCCTTGTGTTCCTAGGTTCCACATGTAGGGAAGCTCTTGCAATGCAGTCCTAGGTAAAGGCATGAGAAGTAACCAGAAGTGCATTTATTTCACCTGGATAATTAGATTTCTACAAGGTAATTCATCCGACATCCTCATACAGTAAAGCTTTCTCCTGAATATACAGTAACTGAGCAGTTACTGTGTATTCCACTTCGTGGACAGAACTGCACTGGAAGAGCTCCTTGGAGAACTGTGCCTCTGTTGTGAGTGGTGATGTGGCACCAGTTCCCCAGTGAGCAGAGTTGCTGCGGCATAGGAGGTGTTGTCCTTGGAATGAGATATTTAACCGAGACTCAAACGTATTAACATTGAAGATCCTACAGCATTATTTTTAAGAGTATGGGTGTTAACCCCAGAGTCCTGGCTCAATTCCCAACTGGGCTCGTACAACCTGGGGCCCCTCAAGTTCCCCTCTATGCCATTTCCCAATCTCAAGAAAGAAAACAACTGCCAGATGCAAAACAGTGCTTAATGGGAACAATAAAAAAATGTGATATACTGTAGAATAAACAGAAATGTTAATTTTCTTTTTATGTATTCCAGGCCACTGTGTAAGTCAGTGCATCACTGTAATTAAACTGACAGTAAATGTTCAGTTTATGTATAACGCACAAAGCTAATTATTCATTAGCCTCATTATTATTGAAAGAAGAAATTATTGGTGTCAGTCCTGGAGATCATGGCTCTTGATGTTAGCTGGTCAGTGTAATTTTAAAGCCTTGTAGCACTGTGTATTAAGACAGATTCATCCCTGATGCACTCCAGAATGTGAATTTTAGAAAACAAAGAATCATTAAAACTATTATAATGAAGGGTTTATTATAAAGATTATTATAATGCAGGGTCTAATGCATAATTAACAGTACTTTGTTTCCACTTGACTGCAAGAGCTTCAATTCCCATTTCTGAAGTGTGGGCAGGGTTTCTGTGTTGGAGTGAATTTTTCCAGTTCATTTTCTAAATTTCTTTTTTCCACCAAATATTTCCAAAAACAGGGGCTGTCTGATCCTTGTCCTGAAGTGCCGGAGCGTCTGCATGTTCTTTAGGTCTCTGTTAAGCCAGTGAAGAGTGATTTAGATTGTTAGGAGCTGTTTTGGAAGGAAAACCTGTAGACACCCTGACCCTCTGGGACTCGAATAGGACACACCTGTGCTAAACTGTTCTTTCACCCGGGATTCGAGTGCTTTTGGCTTTTACCATGTGCAAATATGACGTGTTGACAGAGTCATATTGGTTCACTATGCATCTAATAATAGTAAGTGGGGAGGAGAACAGAGTAATGTTGCAAATTAATAGATGAGGATTGTTAGGGGGCCATGACTAGTAAAGGCCAGAGGAAAAATGTGTCCAGGATACCACAGTCACACACCTACTCCTTTCAAGAATCATACTGGGATTTTTAATGTCCACAGAGGACCTCAGTTTTGCATCTCATCTGAATGACTGCATCTTTTTTGCAGTCTAGCGTCCGCATCACTATACTGCGGCATTAGGACCCACACAGACCGCAGGGTGAGCACCTCCTGCTGGCCCCACTAACACCTCTTCCAGCAGCAACCTTAACTTTCCCAGGAGATCTCCCATCCAGGTACTGACCAGGACTGACCAGGCTCACACCTGCTAAACTCCAGTGGGCTGCCAGCTGGAAGTTGGAGGGTGATATATACAGTGTAGGTGATATATATTTATTTGAGCAAGACCAGATTTTCCTTGTTTCTTTCTTTAATGCATCCACACAGTTTCTGGAAGAGGTAACAGGAGCCTGTAGTGAACAAGAGAGTGCCAGCAGCTGCTGATAATGTGAGCAACACGCACTGGGAATCAGCCAGAGAGCCTGTTTATAGAGGCCTGGCCAGGATGAAGAGCGATGGAAAACTAAAAGCTCCCCCTCTCACTTGTCTTTATAGACTGAGACAGTTTCACAAAGACAGTACCTGCCTAAATGAAGTTTGTTTCTTTAACTTGTGAATATGGATGCAATCTGTTTTTGTAGCTTCTTGCAATAATGACCAGTGGAGTCTGCAATTTTCCTTGTCCTTGTCTCCTCCATGTTTTTCAATTAATTCTGATATACAATATCTAGACCTCCCTAGAGTAGCAGAAACGATGGTTTCAGGCATTACCTGTGAGGACTTTAAAATGGGCCCCTTTCGCTCCCTGCTCGTTTACTTCCATAGGTACTGTATGTACAGTATATAATATTTATTAACGAGACAAAGGAAAATAGAAATTTGAAAGACATAAGATGAACATTTTGAGACATAACAGAGCACAGGTGCCCCATATTCTTTTTCTTGTTGCGTTGTTTTACTCAGGTACTCAATTTGTTTGAACATAATAAAGGCTGAACATAGCTGTGAAAATTGTATCTGACATTCACAGAAATTAATTTCATGAATGACTAACTCGTGTTTGGTAGAGAATTCCCCACAGGTATTGTGTTTTTTCTCTAATTGAAGTGCAGGAGTGCCAGGAACTGCTCCTCATACAAACAGAAAGTTAAAGCTTTCTGTATAGAAAGTGCTGGAAACTATTTACAGTATAAATAAAGTAATTAAAAATCTATATGGACATAGCATTTGCAGTTTTGGAATTACACATTTCCATCTCAAACTGGGAGTGTATGTAAAATATACACATTTCAAACATTGCCTGTTCTTCTCAGAAAACCCTTCTGTCTCTTATGTGAAATGTACTGGTATCCTGACAAAACTGTCAGTTCAACTGACTGGTGGACTGACCTTCAAGGTTTATCTGGACCAAAGTCTACCAGCTTGGTGCCTAAACTTTCTGAGATATTCTCCAGGTTACTTCTGCTTTCAAGTTAAAGAAAATGGAATACAATTCTCAGACAATATGACTACTTGTTTGTGTGAAGGAATCTGAATTTGCTAGAAATTATTTCAACAGCTTCAGATAAACCTGTGACTTAGGGAGAGAAAGTGTGGTATTGATTTGATATTGACTCTCCTGGCTGAGGAAATGACTGTGTGGTCACCTCAGCAAGGGTGGAGAGAGGAGTGATGTAAGGCAAAGCACTCTGGGATAGCTGAGCAGGACACCTGTGCTTGTACTTGTACCTTGTACCTGTATTTGTACACCTTAATCAGGTGAGGTTAAAGCTTTGTCTTCTTTTACAAATTTGCATTGAAGGCTTCCATTTATTCTAATAGTACTAAAGGCATCCTCATTTGGAAAAATTGAATGCTATACCCTCATTTTAAAACTGCAGTATACCCCAAGGAGTGGCTGTTCCACATTTTAACAAGTGGTCCAAAGTCTGTTATGGAAATTGGCTGAAACCACCTTCCAGGAAGACGCCAGGAACCTCATGCCACAGAGTTACGAAAGGGAGCCTCAGCTCTTCACTGTTTTTACTGTTTACAAAGAATGTACTGTAGGCGCTTCCCCTTCTTTTAAATTGATGTCAAAGGTGCTCATGATGCTGTTATCTCAGACAGAACCATCTTGGAAGGGACACTGACAAAGGCCAAGTGTGAGCTGCACTGTAGGATGGTAGTGTTTCTTTTCAACATTTATGCTGCTCTTGGTAGGGATTCAATGGTCAGTCTCTGGATATGTCTCCGCACTCCAGGGAGTGTAAAAATATGGGTGATGTATAATATTGCTCAAGCAAAGGTTAATAAAGAAATTCTGTCTGCCCACTCTTTAACCAGACCAAGTTACCTAACAAGTTCCTGACATCTGACTGCCAGAATGCGCAGGGGGAGAATAATGTCACAAAACCAATTGGCTAAAGTGATATAATCTGAAGCTGTGGAGGTTTCCCTCCATTGATATTTATAAGAAATATACATAGTTCACAGAACTGACTCTGCAGAGCCTCTGCTTTCAGTGAGGAAACATCAACCAGCCTGTGGGGAGTGAAGGAACATTATTCATGCGCCCTGTGTCGCTGTGCAGAAGAACTGGCCCAGCAGGCCCTCTTACCCCCGAAGTACGAGCCGTCGGACAGCTTGGTCTCCTTGTTGCCCTTCGTCAGCACGCTCACCACCCCGTGCTGGATGAAGTACATCTTTTTGCCAATGGTGCCTTCGCGGATGATGTAATCGCCGGGCTGGAACACTTCGAAACGCAGCTTCGTCAGCATGGAGGTGACAAAATTCGGGTCGGCGTTGGCAAACAGAGGCATGGATGCCACAAGTTTCCGGCAGTTAAAATTAATGATTTCCTGCAAAGAAAGTCACCAAAGAAAGGGTCCTGCTGTTAACGTGTGTAGGGTGGTCACATCCCTATTGTCTTCGAGATGGTTTGTCGTTATATTGTTCCAGTATGTTTGGAACAATCACAGAGGCCTTAGAAAAGTTTTAAAAAGCCAAATTTAATTTCCCTATAGAAACAAGTCATACAGTACGTTTGTTTCAAAATACTTTTTCTAAACCTTTCAGTGATTTTATCTTGGTTAAATAAATCTATCCATGTCTGTACTATCTGTCCTTGTCTTACTTCAGCCTGTTATGGCATCACCATGATTTGAAGTAAGCTTTTACAAAGGAGAAGTTGAAAAGTTTTCACTTTGATAATAATGGCAAAATAATAGTAAAGTACGATGCTGAGAGCAGGCTGACTGGTTTTGCTCCAACGGATGTTACTGAATAATAGCACAATTAAATTGTTTTCGTCTGGGGAGTTAACAATGGGCTTTAAATAAAGTTCACTTTAAATTGAATTCAATAACCAGGATAAGCGCAGCTCAGTTGAATTGACATCCCGACATCTAAAAAGTGACTGCATGAGGAGTTCTCTTCTCCACTCCTTTAGAGTGAGTTTGCTTACAAAAGTGCCAAGAATGCACTTCTCTGGCCAGGGGTTATTCTGCCACGTACTGTTCTAATCGGTTCAGTACCTTTGCACATATGCTGTATACTACTGGTTTGATCCAGAAAAAAAACTTACAAATAAATTCAGGAAATTTAAAAGGAACTAATCTAAAACTCCAGAACATTGATGTGTGCATGGGGCCAGTTTGTTCTAGGAATATGAAATACTGCCAATTCTGTTTTTGCCAGCATGAGACTGATTTTGCCAAAAAAAATAAATGGAAATGACCATGTGTTTAAAGACCATGTGTTTAAAGCATGTACAATTTGTAGCCAAGTCACTTATTTGTAACTATTTTTAAATGTATTGAGTTTACCACTTATTATAATCAGCGATTAAATTAGTTATCCATTACTGACTTTTTAAAAACTGTTTCCACAGATGTATTTAGACCAGTGGCCAAAGCTCTCTCCAGGAATCCTAATAATTGCACACACTCCAAGGTCAGTACTCTGGGAAATCCAGCTGCTAGAAACTGATTGCCTTACCTCTCGCAGCGGCTCGCTGAGCTCTCCCAGGATGCTCTCCTCGTCGAACATCTTGCCCTGGTAGCGATGCTCGTAGTAGTCATGGATCCGCTGGCGCATGTCGGCGGGGAGCTTGTGGAAAGACATGTACTGCTCCACCTGCTTGTACTGAAAAGACAGATAAGGAGCGCCGTCAACATTATACAGACA